AACAGCTGTCACCAAAAAACGTTATGTTATAAACTTTTGGTTGCGAAATGACAGCTATCACCTTATGTGATAGAAATAAACATTGGACAATCGTGCGTTGGTCGTGTCAACAAACTGGACATCAAACGTACTCCGTTTATAATTTCTGAATGGAGAGTTATGTAATTCGGTTTGCTAATTAAAGCACTCGACTGTGCTAATTAAAACGGATGCGGGGGCGAAAATTCCGGTGTATCGAATTTGTTTAGCGCAGCTGAATTCACTCAGCAACAACAAAAAAAAATGCAATATTACAAAAGTCCGTTCATTACATAAAAGCACGAGAATCTTTTGCAGAGCTTTAATTATCTAGCAACGTTTCCAAATTGAGTTCCATGTAATTTTACGGCCTCTCGCATGGACCATTTGAAGTAGTCCTCTTTTTTTTCTCATTCACTTTTTCACTTATTCATAATGAAATCTTTCTATTTAGAATTGGTGCAAATATTTGTACTATGCCTTCAAATGTTCAATTTAAAAAAATAGTTTTAAAATAAATTAAATCTTGAACTAAATTGAAACGATTCAATAAAATATCGCGTAATTTTACACAGTTTATTAAAGTACAACAGTAAATACCAAAATCCAAGAAAATACATATTTTCATGATTATTGACAAATTAAATAAAACGTAAGGACAGTACGCTTTCAATTCAATTTTAAAATTCTTTATTCAGTGTAGATATGCAGATACAATGGAGTACGCTTTCAATATGGACAATTTATTTATAGTAGTTTTATTGAAAGAGCCATAATTTTGTTTATAATTTGCCTTTACAGTTATGTAATTTGCACACGTGGTTACACATAAAACGTGAAGACAACAAAAAAAAAATGAAAAATCAGTCATTAATATTACTCAACCATGGTTAAACCAGAGGATGTGTGATATAAATCCACATTTTATGTATCGTAAAATATTTAAAAAAAAAAATATTTTATAAAATATAAAATACTAATAATGTGTATTTATTACCGAAATTCTCTCAAAGTATGAGAAACAACGTACACATCCATTAAAAGTATAAATTCAACTTATATTATAATCATCGCCACGGTTTAATTACGTTCTATTAGCATTGTATTAACGGATTCATCGCATTGCTTGCATAAGCATTGTTCGTGACAAAACCCTGCAGGTATTGTCCATCAGCAGTGCACGTGGAAGATTCGAGTAGACACATGCCACGTGAATTGTCATATGCATGGACGGCGATTTTATTGTTCCCAAATCGAAATCCATCCAAAATATTCGAATACAACCACAATGGCATTATTGTCGTCTACCAATGTATATACGTGCCGATGGCGTTGCATAATTGTAGCAGCTACAATTCGCAATCGCAAACTCGAAATGCTTCTAAAATTTTGCAATTTCCTAATTGAGGAAACTACGGAACAAATGGTAATTTTATTATTTCTCTGCATATGTTCCCAAATATTTCCAACATTTTCCAACGTAAAGTTCTAGTAATCGCATTACGTTCCAGCATCAACTAATTACATAAGTGTGCATTTGTACAGCATACGCGCGATTCTGCCAATTTGTTTTTTTCAAGGACATCGTCCTTTTATCCTTTTCCACAAATTTTCACTTTAATTTAATACACATGCAATATTCTGCGCATTCCTTAGACGTCTTTTATTCAAGTAATTGCTAAATATAAATAAAAATATTATATTGATTGTACAAAAAAAAGTTTGTTTATTCTCGCATTTATTATTTTTTCAATTACCTACGAAAATAAGTAAGATTTAATGGCTATTATTATTATATAATATAATAATTATATAATAGATGTGTTTTGAAAATGTGAGTGATTGGAAGAAGAAGAAACATAAAAAAAAACATAATTGAATCGTGTTTGGTAAATTGAAGCCAATAGTTTGGATTTCGGTATGAAGCCTATTGTTCATACACAATAAGATTAATTAATGGATCGGCCATATCGATTCATCAGTTTATATAATTCAATTACAGAAGGTCTGCTTGTGATTACATTTAAACTGAATTCGTATAATTAACGGTCATTTGCTCAATACACGGAGTTCGTTATGTTACAATTATTGTACAAATTGCTTAATGGTATCAATTTGCATTTATTCATTAGTTATTGTTAATTCGAGGATAACTGTTTCTTCCTTTGAAATGCCTAAATATATCATTCTGTTATTAATTGTAAAATTATAGTTGAAGTGCTTTTGCAAACAGGATTTAATGTGGGAGAAAATCTTGTTTTTATTTGTAGACAGATTTAATTTACATAAGCAGACGGTACTTATATTATATATCAAGGTTATTTTGATATTTAATATAAATTACCATACAAAACCAATTTAATACTCTTCAGCATTGGGTAGCGTTTTTATATGTATCCAATATTATATATTTGTTTGTTATAATTAGATTACTTTTGTTTGTATATCTCTTCTGTACTCTATAAAAATGATGGAATAATACATATATTTAAAGTTTAATCTTTATAGTTACATGATTTCTTAAGGGAATCGATAATTTTATAAGCTGTAAACACATCATATGCAATAAAATTATTTTACCTAGGTGTACGTTTGGTTGCATACATGCTATAACTAATGATTTCCAAAGAGCTACCTGCTTTTTTTTCACGTTTATTCTAGATTAATCGAAAGTTACGTAACTTTTTTTAAATATTTATTATTACTTAACAAGGGACGGTTATGCATTTCATTGTTCAATAAAAGTTACGTAATATTCATAAATAATGATATTCTGTTTTAACTTTTTCTAATTATACCAAATTATAGCTGAAAGCTGCACCTTGCAGACGAACACATTGGCAGCTTTCTGGTTTCAAATGTGTCTTTGAGGGTAAGGAGCATCTTCACGTTTGCATTAATTTCAGGATAACCACGCAGGATGACTACATAATTCAACAAGAATCGTAACTTCGAGCATTTCGATTTTGAATGCTCCTGAATATTACCGAAATTTTGTGCGATTTTCGAGATATTTTCTTAAAATTTAATAACAATCTTTGTAAAGTTGTTGTACTATTTCATTAGGATCTGATCAATATAACGAAATTGTTATAAGTAATATAATTGGCTATTAACATCTCAAACACAATAGCCAAAATAAAGATACAAAGATCATAATAATCTTATTCTTGATGTTTACTGGTATCATTGGATTAAATATTTTCGCATTTTATTTTAGTAAATGAAAAATCATAGAAGACAATTTGAATAATGTTTGACATTGATTAGCTTCAATTAGATTTAACACTTTTTCTACCATCAATTGATATTTATTGGACATTTATAAGAATATTAACACGGAGTGCAAGATGATATAAGAATATCAACTTTCGGCGGAAACATCGATAGGCAACGAAACGTACATCGGTGATAGTTTGTTGCCCATATAAATTATATTTGAATTCGAAATACAAAAAGTAAAATATGAAGAAATAAGCGATAAATACATCATATTAATTCTCTTAGTATTTGAAAAAACATTAAAGCATTTAAATAATTAATATTTAATACCATAATCTAATGGAGGTTTGAGTTAGAATTACAATTTTATAAGTTACAAAAATAAGTTTATTTCATCCAAAACTTAAATTTTACAAACAATAATATATATTCATATTTTCTCTAATGTAAATTAAAATACTGAACACTGGTCACTTAAAATTTGTTGCTTATCTCACTGGTATACTAAGATTCAACTAGATTTTAATCATGATGAGGAGTATCCTTTCCCTAGTAGCGATGAGATATTCATTTTTCACGTTTTTGGCAGTTGTTAAATGGACGTTGCAGAGCTAAAATAAACAATATTTTTGGATTACTACAAATACTTTTCAGAGTGAAAGCTTTACCTTATTTAAGTTCATTACAACACAATCCATTAATATTAAATATTCCATTTGGAAGTAATTGTAAATCGTGCAATATCACTTTCTTTCAGAGTAGATTCCTCCCTGCACTTGCGCAACAGTTTCAACTGAAAGAACAAATATATACTTAGATATGTAATTATTAAATTAAGTAAGAAATAAAGTGTCTAATAAGTATAAGTATTCTATATGACACGTGGAATCTAGCAAATTATAAAGAAATGCCATTATTTAGATAATAAAGAGCATATTTGTAAATTTGGTTGCCTATGCCGATTGTATGAAAACCAATAGGAAATCTTAAACAGATAAGCACACAATTAAATTAGGAAAAAATACAATAATTTGTAGTATTTAAATGTTAATAAATTTCTTATATGCGGCCAGCAGGAATGTTAAAATTTGTTGTAAAATATATATTTTTAATATTTACTATTTTATAATAGTAATTAAAAATAGTTTGAAAACTTTAACATATTTGACTTGCTTAGGTATTGAAGATTAATAAATATAATTATTTTAAATAATTATTCATTTATTTATTTTCTTTATAAAACAAGTATTATAACAATAATATTCATGTTCACAACATGTATACAATAATATATATGTACAGCAAAAAGACCTGTTGGTAAAAAAGTTAACAAAAGTTCAAAAACCTGGTAAACAAATTAGTACCTCGTACACGGTTCTTCGACAATCATTTATCTTCAAATTGATTTACAATACGAGTGCGCCCTATGTGCCATTGAGAATCGCGCGAGAAGGAGGCATGAGCCATCCATTCTCAAAAAACTTGCGTATAAAAATAGTTTCGGGCATACTTGTAGATATTTTCCTTTTTCCATCAAACAAACATAATCTGCGGAGGCGAACAAATAAAATTGTGGGTCGTCTTCGCACAATTCCAAGCTGAGCCATTCTTGAAACCACACGAAGCCATTAGGAACTAGTGCATTCCAACATGTTACTTATCTTTGAGCCAAAATTGCATAAACAAACCTAAAAGGGAAGGGAGGGACTACATGTTTTCTTTTGTTTATAAAATCTACAGTTACACTGATGAAATATTCTATCCTACCATATAATTATCTACGACAATTTTCCTTCACTAATTTACTGTAAAACATAATGTTTAATGAAACTAGGCTATCCTTTAATGTTTTCATTATTAGTCAGCTACATTGTTAGCAGAAACTACCTCTTATCTAATGTTTTTTCGGTATCTAAATATATTTACTACAATCGGATAATGTTTAAATAATGTTTCATTCATTACATTTAAATACTCAAAGAACGACCATTAAATTCAACCCGCGTTTGTTTTCCAGACTTAGCTGTGTAAATTCTGCGAACTCCTGTAGGCTTGCTTCAGTGACGCCGATTGATCTTCAAGGCTCTTCTTTAAGTTAACAATGGTGTTCAATAAAACCTGTTGACGAAGCGTTTCGCAGCTTTTCCTCTTGTTTTTATCACTAATAATGTAGTCATCTAAAATAAATATCTTAATTAGTCAATATCATTTCAATTAAGTGTCAACTTACCATAGGGTAAAGATTCGCGCAGTATATTAAAGGCGACTCCCTTAGATTGATTGGTGTATATCTTCCTTTTGACGGGTTCACTTTGAGGACAATTGTATTTACTTTTGTGCTTCGGAGTTTCAGGCTCGGAATCGGAGCTTAAGCTATCAGTCTGTTTGGTGCGGATCAGTTTCTTACGATATTTCGGACTTCGCCTAGCCGATAGATCAGTTTTTGATTGCCTCCTGGTTAAAGGTGAAGACTTCTTATTGCTGCGTAGAGGTAGCGGTGTGCCACGTACATCTTTGTCTAAGTCTCTCCTCAATAGAATTGGTGAATTGTTGTTAATAAACTTGGTGATGTGGTTACGTTTCGGACTGAATCTCGGAGAGAAGTTGGACGGAATTCGAGCGATGTGAAGGTTAGAGGTGTCCTCAGTTATTCTGTTCTTCACAAAGGCATCAGGTTTGGTGTTCTCAGTTCTGAGCAGTTCCACGCGCTTATTGGTTGGACCTGGTAATCTCCTCGGTGAAAGAGCGTTGGTCTTGATGTTTTTCAAAATATGTTCAGCCTCTACAATAAGCTCTTTATATTTCTTGTCAGCTTCTTTGTCGCGTTGATCAAAGAAGTGCACTGGATCTCTTGGTATGCTGACGGAGTTTGATCTCTTCCTAAATCGATCTTCAATAGCGAGCTTCGACACTTGATTAGTTTTCGTCTTGCGTGCTGATACTGGTGTAGCGCCAGCACTGCGCGTCCCATCGTTAAAGTTATGAATCTTCTGACGCTTCTTACCAGTGATCGATCGCCTCCTCTTCTCTGTTTTATTCTTAGGACTCAAGTCTTTCTGTGATCTTCTTGATGTTCTGCGACGAGAGCATCGCCTCTGCACTTCGAAGTTATAGTAAGTACAGTGACCAGTATTTTTGTCGTTATTGATGTTGAATTCCAAAAACGATCCATTATCTATGAAGTCGAATTCCGTTTCCAGCGGATCATCTTCGTCACCTCCATCCTGGCCGGTATCGATGTCGGTTTCACAATCAGTCGGATCGCTATCACTCAATATATCAGTTTCCTTTTCGTAGATATAACTCTCATCGTATTTGCCCATCATCTCGTTCAAAGTGCAATCATCTTCCTCATCACTAGCAGAAAGTACACGAGGACTACGACCCAACATCTTGAGATGAGATGATCCATCTCGGACTAAGCTCGCATCCCAATTTAAACTTGCTGCACTTAAGGAGGAGCAAGATGACGATGATAGAGAGTCGCATCGCGGCGGGCGGTTTATGGGGCTACATGGAACGGTTGGGCTTAAATACCTAACGGCGACGCTGAGGAAAAAAAAGGGGGGAAAACGTTATTTATGAGCGTCATCCTTGAGATGCTGATATACACACGGGCTATTCACTAAGCTTGTCCTCGGGGTGTTCGAATCCTGGCGACCCTGCAATCCCACGCAACTATTCCCAGGGCTTAAATTATTCCCAGGGACCCATGGATTCGTTCGTATTCGATTACGTTGCCTTGGTGATGTTATTCCCGACTCAGGCAACCGTGATGCATTTACCATTGTTGTTCCCCTAATAAAATCCTGTATCCAAACACATAAACATAAAATTGTTAAATCCAAAATTAATTAGGAACATCCACATTATCATCCAATTACATATAACCAATATAGATTGCTTTTAATTTAATAACATAAAAAATATATTAAACATAGATTGTTTTGAAGTACAAACAGCAATCACCTAACCGTACATCGTTATAACGTAGATCAATAATACGTACAAATAGATGTTCGTATGAACGTACAATTATTCGGCGGCTATAGCACATTCATGTTGTGTATTTCACTTCAAGTTCGGTATATTTATTTCTATGGAAAATCTATCTACAATCTATGTGAACGAAGTCATGTGTGTACCTAAATCGTAAATGCATTCTTGAATCAGCATTCGATTAACGTACATTCACTTAACGTAGGCAATTTGTTTGGATTTTGTACGTTAATTGAACACTGACTATACTATATAGATGTGGAAAGACAAGATAAGCGACGATGAGATAAATGTCCGGGGGATAATCTAAAAATAAAAGTTTTGCACTGGAAGCAGTAACGTGATTTACGCAAGTGGACGATATAATAAAATGAGGGGATGAGGCAGTAAAACTTACCATCGACGGTGGGGTGGACCCGTTAACTTGAACAACTGCCGTCGGCGGGCCTCGCTCCAAATCTCCATGGGACGATAAATTATCCCGAGGCGGTAGAGGTGTCAACTGTTGTTGTTTCTGTTGAAGAGGCGATGGTCTCGGAGTCGGAACTTCGGGCAGCCGCTTAGGAGTCTCGCCACCTCCGTGTCCAATAACCTCGGTGACCGTTTGTCGTTTATCAGCCTCTGCAGAGAAATATCGTATCCCTAGAGGAAGGAGCAACAAATCAACCATGCCTAGCTAGTAATAGCTGAAATATCCAAGAGAGACTTCAAAGAAACCAATTTCGAATAAATTCAGTACAGCAAAAAATGCTGGCTTTCTTCGTGCCTTTGACGGTGCGCCGCATTAGGGCCTTCTCGTTGGATTCCCTTTCCATCCGACATATCTCCGATGGAAAGCAGCAAAAAAAAAACATCGAATATCCAGACAATGGGAAAAATTTGTATACATGCTTTCCCCCGGACTCAAGCCAGTCTCGTCATCTACTTTAGCAACTTTCTAACACAACGGAAAATAATTGAAAAAAAACTCAGACGTACAATACAAATTTCTTTAATATAAAGAAATTAAATAAACAATACAAATATAAAATGTAACTTAAAACTATACAAAATAATAAATAACAATAATATAACAAAAATAAAATAACAAAAAACCAAATGGTCAAACTTTATACAAATATAAGAATTAACTTAAAACTAAAAATAACAATAATAAATTAAGAAGCGTTTACATGCTTTTACATTAAAATATAATAATACATTAAATAATTAGACATTCAATCAGAAATCCAACTAACTTTTCAGTTAGTGGAATCATTAAGAAAATTAATAGTGAAATGAATCCTCGATTAAAGAGAAGATACATTAAAAACCAAAGACATTGACTTGTAATTTCTTACAAAATCGTATATACAAATGACGAACAGAAAATTTAAAGAAGAATTCGAAGTATAACATAGTAGATACAAAAAACGTATCAAATACATATGTAAATTTTAACATCCAATTTTGGCATGAGTAGTATTATAGATGAAAATATATCAGTGGAAAAAGTAGATATATTCTATATAATATGACAGATACTAAAAATGTATCAACTAAATTGCCAATAAGAAATATTATAGAAGAATATCAGAGGAAAATACCATTGTGGTTTATGTACCACATTGCTATTGATCGGACATGTAGTGGAAAAGGTATTCGTTGAAATAATTTGTATCATACAAACTCGGAACATTGTTTGTAATTAGAAAATTTGAAATGAGAAATGTGATTCTTGTCCATAAAATAAATTGGATAATATGAATAGTCGATTGGAATTATAAATGACAACCAATTCTTGTCCATAAAAGAAATTGGAAATCAAATGAAAATTTAGAAATCTTCCAAAGAAATTGGAAATCAAATGAAAATTTAAAAAACTTCCAAAGAAATGGAAATCAAATGAAAATTTAGAAAAGTTCCAAAGAAATTGGAAACCAAATGAAAATCTAGAAAACTTCCAAAGAAATGGAAAAAAATATAGAATGAAAAATGTAACATAAATCATTACACGTTTAGGACAATTATTATAATTATTTGTTCATGTATATAAACGCAATTAGAAAATACGATTACAACGTTCAAATCCAAAATATAAAAAGGACTTCATCAAATTTCAAGGAAATTATATTAAAAAAACCTCAGTGGAATTCTAAATGTATTAGAAGAAAATTCCTCAATGGAGAAATTATTCGATAAACCAACAGTGAAATAAGACAACCAATTCTTTCCCATGTAAAAAAATTGGATCCAATTTTGTTGGAGAATATTAGAATAATTATTATTGCTATATAAAGCATTTATTAAAAAAATATGAGAAATCTGTGCTGTGAAACAGTGAAATTTGACAGACACAAAAAATATATCATTTAAGTTGTCAGTATGATCATATAATATAAAAATATGACATATTGCCACAGTATGAAGTATTTTGGAATATTGGACAAAAGTCACTCATTGCCAATAATATTGATATTTAGTGGAAAAGATAATAATTTAAAAATATGTTATCCAAACTCAGAACACTGTTTTAAATAACAATATTTGAATTGATAAACAAATTCTTCTCCATAAAAGAAATTAGAAACGAAAAGTCGTTCGAATGAAAATTTGCAAATCCAAAGAACTCGAAAAAAAATATCCAATGATAAATGTATCATTTCAAGTTTATGATAAACAATACTAATAGTTAGTGGATATATTCAATAATTCAACAGTAAAAATTTCAGAAACTAAAAAAATATCATTTAAATTTTCACTATAACAAATAAATTATGCCATAATTAGAATATAAGTTTAAAATGTTTAAATCCAAAACATAAAATAGGCTTCATCAAAATTGAACGAAATTTGAAAATTTAGAAAATTTGTAAAGCAAAAATATTCACTCATAAATGTAATAATAATAAAAAAATCTTTATTAGTCACCAATTGTAACCAAATATATATATGAATTCGGGTGGAACTGTGCTGGGTTCCTAGTCACCAGGAAATCACGAGAAATGAGCAGGCGGATACTGCCCTATAAAATAACAGCCAATATTGCTAGGAAAATACCAATACTAGAATACTTATTGTTGCTGCAGAAATCATTAAATAAAAAAAAATAGGAAAAAACTGTACTGTTAATCCATTGAATATCTTAATGAATTTGAAAGATATTTGAAAGACATATTATAAATATGACAACCAATTCTTGTCCATAAAAGAAATTGGATATGAATAGTATTTCAAAGGAAAATTTAGAAAATTTCAAAAGAAATAGAAAAATGATAACATTATAAGTTTTCGTCAAAAAATAAGTATCATTATTTGACATATTTTAAAGGCAATTATATAGGTATCACTATTAATGCAATTAGCAAATATGATAAAAAATTATAATTAATAATTGATTCTTTGTCATAAGAAGTGATGAATAAAAAGCAGGAGAAAACTTTGTACTTTTAGTCTGTGGAAAAATATTCAATGCATTTGAAAGATATTATAATATATCCGATCATTGTTAGATAATACGAATAATTGATTGATTTGTAATTCCAGGAAAGAATATTTGACAAATAACAAACAATACAGTCACTGTCGATAAATTCGAACTAAATATGATAAATACAGAAAACAAATGCCCAATATTGCTTGGAGAATAGCACTGCCACAAGAAGTGTTAAATATAAAATAGGAGAAAACTGTTGTACTACTACTCCGTACAAAAGATATTCATTGAATTTGAAATATAAACGCAAAACATTGTTTGAAATTAAAAATTTCTAATAGGTAATGTATAAATATGACAACCTATACTGGTACATAAGAGTAATCATAAAATATGACTATTTAAGTAATATCACTATCAATAAATTCGAACTGCATATTAAAAATGCAGAAAACATTTTTATGTAAACTTTAACTTGAAACATTGCCACAAGAAATGTATAAATATGACAACCTATACTGGTCCATAAGAGTAATCATAAAATATGATTTATTATATAGGTATCACTATTAATGCAATTAGAAAATATGATAAAAAATTATAATTAATAATTGATTCTTTGTCATAGAAAGTGCTGAATAAAAAGCAGGAGAAAACTTTGTACTTTTAGTCTGTGGAAAAATATTAAATGCATTTGAAAAATATATTAATAAATACGTTTGTTGTTGGATAATTCAAATTTTCAACAGCAAACTTGAGAAATGAAAACTTCAGAAAACTTCAAAAGAAGTGGAAAAATATATAATTGTAATTATAACATTATAAGTTTTGGTCAAAAATTAAGTATCATTATTTGACATATTTTAAAGACAATTATATAGGTATCACTATTAATGCAATTAGCAAATATGATAAAAAATTATAATTAATAATTGATTCTTTGTCATAGAAAGTTCTAAATAAAAAGCAGGAGAAAACTTTGTACTTTTAGTCTGTGGAAAAAATATTAAATGCATTTGAAAAATATATTAAAAAATACGTTTGTTGTTGGATAATACAAATTTTCAACAGCAAACTTGAGAAACGAAAAAATTGAGAAAACTTCAAAAGAAGTGGAAAAAAATATAAATGTAATTATAACATTATAAGTTTTGGTCAAAAAATAAGTATCATTATTTGAGGAGTTTGACTGGGGCGGTACATCTGTCAAATAATAACGCAGGTGTCCTAAGGCCAGCTCAGCTAGGACAGAAACCTAGCGTAGAGCAAAAGGGAAAATGCTGGCTTGATCCCGATGTTCAGTACGCATAGGGACCGCGAAAGCGGAGCCTATCGATCCTTTTGAGTTTTTAGCAAGAGGTGTCAAACTGTCACTGTCGATAAATTCGAACTAAATATAATAAATACAGAAAACAAATGCCCAATATTGCTTGGAGAATAGCACTGCCACAAGAAGTGTTAAATATAAAATAGGAGAAAACTGTTGTACTACTACTCCGTACAAAAGATATTCATTGAATTTGAAATATAAACGCAAAACATTGTTTGAAATTAAAAAATTCTAATAGGTAATGTATAAATATGACAACCTATACTGGTACATAAGAGTAAACATAAAATATGACTATTTAAGTCATATCACTATCAATAAATTCGAACTGCATATTAAAAATGCAGAAATTTTTTTATGTAAACTTTAACTTGAAACATTGCCACAAGAAATGTATAAATATGACAACCTATACTGGTCCATAAGAGTAATCATAAAATATGATTTCTAAGTCATATTGAAAAAATAAAAAAGATTTTACGAAAATTGGAAAATAATAAAAGCAAATTATAATCAATATAAAAAAAACATTCCAGCTAACTAAGAGCAAAGCTTTGTTTCAATAATAAATTACAAAATAATAAAGAAAGAAAACATAGAATGTGAAAAAGGATAAATACCGGTTCTGATGTTAATGTAATATTCGGGAGGTGCACCAGGTGAAGTGCCATCAGTGGAATATCCTGTGGAGTAGGCTGACTCCGGTGAGGATAAATTCGCACCAGAGTACCGAGCTCCTTGACTCGCTATAGTCTGCATAGATTTGCTTTCCACATTACCCTAAAAATGATGTTAACTTAACGGGATATGTGTGGTTGTTGTTAATATATAAAAATAACAACAATGGCATATTTAATTTCCTTCAAAAGAAAACAGGAAATGATTGCAGCACTATAAAACTTGATGACAAATCATAATAAAAAATATATAAAAACAGCAACGAATTTCAAAAGTAATTTTAAAAAACCACTACTTTGACAGCAAGGATCAGATTATAATTGAAGGTAGCTTTACCACCTTACCATCTCTTTCTCCGTGGAATACGATACGGAAACAGATTTATTTGATAGGTTTGAGCTAGCACCCTCAGCAGTGATGTTCTTTTGCTTATCCTTGTTACGTTGCTGTTTCTTTCTCGGCCTTACAGACTCCATCCACGAACGTAATTTATTTCCGAACATATTG